AGGCTACAAGCATCCTGGTCCCTCAGGTAAGAGACCCTCATGGTAAGAGTCTTGGGGCCTGCACCCTATTCCTCGAGTGCACCAACAAACTGCAACTTTGCATACTGACATTCTGGAATTCAAGCCCTAAAGCGTAAACCCTGAACCCTAAATCCTGAGCCCTAAACCCTAAACCCTGAGCCCTGAACCCTAAACCCGAACCACTGAACCCTAAACCCTAAACCCTTGACCTCAGGTTGCTAGCCTCGAAGCCAACCCCTCAGCTGCCTTCCCTCTGTGCTAAGAAAGGCCCTTATAAAGGCAACTGCCCTTTGAAAAGCCTCGTTCAGGGTTTTAGGGTTTTAGAGTTTTAGAGTTTTAGGGTTTAGGGTTTGAGGGTGTAGGGTTTGAGGGTGTAGGGTTTGAGGATTTAGGGTTTTAGGATTTAGGGTTTTAGGGTTTAGAGTTAGGATCGGGCCGCCTCCGCCTCCGCCCAAGATTACAATACCAGCGCAGAAAACCCAGGAAAAATTGCGTAAAGCCAGCATGGATGACTATCGCTCCAACAACCCCTCTAGGCTATGCACTCTACGGAGGCCCCCTAGAATACATTCGCCTGCAAAACTTATGAACTCCATGGAAAATATTGCTGAAATAGAAAACTCCATTAAACCTTCTTTGGCCCAGAACTCCTAATGATCCCCATTAACCCTTAAGAACTCATGTAAACACTTGTTTCAAAAGGACTGCATTACAGAAGGAGCCTTCTCACCTCATATTATGCGACCATGGAAGCTCTTAACAAGAAGAAAGCACGCCTAACATCCTGAACCCTCACACTATAAGCGGGATACACTAGGGTAGATTCCTAGGTCTTCGATGACCCCAGATAAGAAAAAACCTTGAGCATGCTAAGCGGCTGGTACTGGTATGGAACCTGCCTTAAGACCTCGCCAGCTGTGGCGTTCAATGATTTTCAGCTCATGGCTAGATGGTTTTCCAAGGTTTCTTGGCGCATAATACTCCTAGTTCATCAAGCTTCAGTCTACACGATGACGATGTTTCAACAGGTCCCCCAACAGAGAGATTTCAAGCCGCCGTTGTTTGGTTTGGGGTTTGGGTTTTAAAGTTTGGTTGCTACAGTGAGAACTCAAAAGATTCGTCGTGGGGAGAACTCACCAACAGGACTAGGAAACAAGTGAGGGCCATGGATCTGTTACTCGCCACCTTTTTGTAATGATAGATCCCCGGAATCCACGTTTGCAGTTTTAATACAGTAGTTGTTCAAAACACCTGCTCCAAAAAAAGCTATACAAATAGGTTCGCGGTTTGGTTAGGATCCCCTTTTGAGGAGGTATTCCCAATGGCCCCTCCTTTACAAGGACTTTTAGCACAACCCCCATAATATGGGTTCGGGGCCAAAACATTTCTTGAACCAAACAGAAGACGTGCTAGCTGACAAAATTTCTGAACATCAAGCCCTAAACAGTTCAGGGTTTAGGGT